AAAAAATGAACATTGACTTCCCTTCCTCCTTTCCGTGGGTTCTAATATCTTTTACTACTGCATATGATTATTACTCTGTATTGTCTCGTTTCTCGTTTCATTTCTGCATATTTTGTACTGCTGAATTTATTCTAAACCTGCTAACGTTTTTACCTGTTTACAGTAGTTCTTCATATATTCTACAAACATTTTTCTAATCCTCTTTAAATACTCTTTTATCTTGCTCTCTTATTCTGCTGGTTAGACTCACCAACTCATCGTTTTCAGCATTCCTCTCTCATTGGGACTGCTCCCTCCCTCTGCTTTTGGGCATATACAATTCGAGTTGCAGTTGTTGCATAGTGAAATAAATTCTTATACAGTAGTTCTTAGGAACATCTGACTCAATTAATCCCTAAGAGAAACGCCTCTGGTCTTTTTGGGAATGAACTTTTAAACATTTTTTATCACATTATAAATAATCTCACCAGATTCTTTAGCTGCTCTGCATGACCACCACATGTGATAAATGTCCCCTCTGTTTCTTGGCACAGTGTGGCTGTTCAGCAGTATTGGGTGGGAGAAAGAGGGCCTCAGGCACATTTTAGGAATGTAAGACTATATGTTCTCATTGAAAATGAGAAAATCCCATCACCAGTGAGGAAAACAGTTGCAGAAAATGCATCGAGCACCGCAAAATGTATGCTGGAGCAGTTTTCTACTAAATCTCATAAACACTGTTTGGTTCACGTCTCAGGGTTTGATGTTTCCTTTTTTGGTGGGGGTGCATCAGGGGGAAGGAAAGGATCCTCCTCAAATCCGAGGCTCTGGAAATGGTGAGATATGTACCCCGCCCCTGTCCATGCACATTCCTGGTTTGCAATCTCTTCTGCAGGCCAGAATCGACTGGCATTGTTGTGGAGGAGACTTAATGAGATGCTCAGAATCTCTCATGGCCTAATGGCCACTCAAGCCTTCCTAATCAATGAGCTATTACCAGCTTTTATATTCCATTCCCAGCAGTTTGCCTCCTGGGAAGTTCTTGTCACAAAGGTGGCAGAGGTCTGCACAGCCGGCTAGAGTTGGCCCTACAGCCTAGCAAAGAGGGCACTGCCCTGCCAACTGCAGCCATCCCCCCACCTGCCTGACTTGTTTCTCACAACCCGTCAGGTGCTGGCTTCACCTGCATTGGCTCTGGTGCCACCTGCTGTTGGTCTCCCTGCCTTTCACCCTACCAGTCCCAATATGCACCAGCCGAGATGAGCAGGCCCTGGGTCCACCTCCTGGTTCCCCGGCAACCAGTGAGAGCTGGAAAGACTAGCAACCAATCAAGAGGCAGAATGGAACTTAAGTTAGCTACTGACAGTGGGATAGGGACTTCCTGTCTGGGTAGGCAGAGGGATCATCGTCTCTCTCTCTCTCTCTCTCTCTCTCTCTCTCTCTCTCTCACACACACACACAAACACACACACACACACACACTGTATTTTTCGCTGACCATAAGATGCACCTAGTTTTTAGAGGAGGAAGACAAGAAAATAAATATTCTGAATGAAACAGTAAATGTATGATTTTTGTGGTTCATGCTGTGGCCATGTGATCTGATGGTGAATTTGGGGTGACCTAATGGAAAACTCCTGAGGATCCATGTGGATCCATACTTTGTAACCACGTTTTTGCTCCATTGCGGCCCCAGGCAACAGTGGGTGCGTGATTTTTTTGGTGCAGGATGTAGCCATGGACATTTATGTGATCTGATGGTGAATTTGAGGTGATCCAATGTAAAAATCCTGAGGATCCATGGGTTTTTACCTCCCCCCTGCCAGGCAGCCTCCGCTAGCATCCCTTATCTCTCTTCTGATCCCACCGATTAGCTGTTTCCTTTCAACCCTCCCTTCCCTCTTGTTTGCCTTAGGGTCTTTTCCATAGCTGGAGCAGTTTTTTGCTCCCCTTTTCTTCTAATTTCTCTCCTTATTGCTTTAGTCTTCCTGTTTCCCCACTTTGCAAGTTTGCTGTCCTTACCTCCCCCCTCCCAGGCAGACTCCTTTATCTCTAGCGTCCCTTATCTCTCTCCCCGATCGGCAAACGATCAGCAGCTTTGTTTCGACATCCACTTCCCTCTTTCAAAAAAAAAAGAAGGGAAAAAAAGCACGATCTGCTTTTTGCCCCTGGGCAATTCGGCTCCAGGGACCACACATTCACTCCATAAGACGCACAGACATTTTCCCTTACTTTTTAGGAAGAAAAAAGTGCGTCTTATGGAGCAAAAAATGCGGTACTTTATCGAAACAATACTTTAAAAACAAACGAACAATAAAAACAACAAAAAACAATGCAGTAACAATACCAAAGAACAACCCCCCCCAAAAAAAATCACATGTTCCTTTGATTTCCATTCATTCCACAATGTTTTCTAGGCTTCATTTTCGATTTCACACTTTGTATTATCATTTCTTAATTTTAATTATCACTTTATTTATTAGTGTTCCATATTGTCCTGCAAGGTTCAGTCTAGACTCATCAAAGCGTTTACGTTTTTACAATGTATCTGTAAATATTCTTGAAAGACATTCCATTCTTTATTTAATTTTTGTTTTTAATCATCTCTTAAACTTCCTGTCATTTTGGCTAGTTCTATATATTCTATCATCTTCACCTGCCAGTCTAATTTGGGGGGTATCACTTCTCCTTTCTAATTTTTTGCTATCAAAATTCTAGCTGCCGTTGTTGCATACATGAAAATTCTTCTAAATTTTTTTGGGATCTCATTATACATGATTCCCAACAGGAAGGTTTTTGGGGTTTTTTTTGAATGAACATTTAAAGATTTTTTTAAAGTTCATTATATATAATGTCCCAGAATTCTCTAACTTTCACACAGTTCCACTACATATGTAGCATTGTACCTTCTGACTTCTTAAACCTCCAGCAAACATTCAATTTTTTTAATACATTTTGGCTAATTTGGCTGGAGTCAGGTACCATCGGTAAAACATTTTCATCAGATTTTCTTTCAGACTATAACATGCAGTGAATTTTATGTCTACCTTCCAGAGTCTTTCCCACACATCCATTTGGATATTATAGCCAAAATCCTGGGCCAATCGAACCATAACTGATTTTACCTCCTCCTCCTTGACTTTCCAATCAAGGAGGAGTTTATACATCTTGAATAAAAGTTTTTATTTCAATTGGATTAAATCTTTCTCTTATCTTGATAACTCTGCTGCAAAACCCCTTTGTTTGTCTTTTCTAAATATTTCATTACGTTGAGAATATTGGAGCCAATCAGTTAGTTGTGTTTGGATCTCCTCAAATTTCTTTAGGCTTTATTTATTAATTTTTTCTTCCAGCAAGGTTTTATAAGTTCCCCAGTTCTTTTTCATATTTTTTTCCTAACTGCAAAAGCTTCTATAGGGGAAAGCTACCAAGGGGTTTTGCTTTATATTTAGTCCATACTTTGTAAAGGGGTTTTCTTATCATATGATTCAAGAAACCCTTGTGGACTTTTACCTTGTCATAAGCCAAGTATGTGTGCCAACCATAATGGCTGTCAAACCCCTCTATGTCCAACAGGTCTGTGTTTTGCAGTACTACCCATTCACGGATCCAAGATAGGCATGCTGCATTGTGATACAATTTGTGATCAGGCAAGGAAAAAACCCCTCTCCCCTTAACATCAATTAATAGCTCATGCTTAATCCTAGGTCTTTTCCCTTGCCATGTGAATTTTGAAATGTCTCTTTGCCAGTCCTTAAAGCAGCGCATTCTCCCTAACACCGGAATAGTCTGGAGGGAAAAAATCATTTTCAGAAGGACATTCATCTTAATTGTGGAGATTCTTCCCCAAAAAGAAAGATGTAGTCCACCCCAAATTTCCAAATTTCTTTTTATCTCATTCCAAGTTTTTACAGAATTATCCTGATATAGGTTGATATTCTTTGCCATTAGCCAAATCCCTAAGTACTTGACTTTCTTCTTCACCTCCAATCCAGTAATTTTTTTGAAATTCGTTCTTTTCCTCCGGCCCTATATTTTTAACTAACATTTTTTTTTACAGTTAATTTTAAAACCGGACACCTGTCCAAATTCTTTTATCACCTCAATCACTTTTTGGTAAACTTTCTTTTGGGTTTTCCATAGTAATGATAAGGTCATTGGCGTAAGCTCTCAATTTATAAGATTTTTTCCCTAATACTATACCTCTTATAACTTAATCATTCCTTATTTTCCTATTCAGAATTTCCAACACCAAGATAAATAGTAATAGGGACAGGGGACACCCTTGTCTGGTTGAGGGGTCATCTGCACTCAGGGCTCCTCCACACTTCCCTTTGTTCCACTCCTTTTCCACAGTTTAGTGTGGAATTGGAACAAACCACAATTGGGGTATCTGCAGATTGCCAGAAATTTATTTGCCAATAACAACAAAAGGCTAGACTTGAAAGTTTCTCTTTAAAGAATGTGTCCCAAATTGTTCCTGACCCAAATAGGAATTCAAATTATGGAAAAGGGGAAAGGAAGGTGTACTGTTTCAAGACTCGTGCCTATCCTTTTGCAGGTTCTAAACCATGGTCTGAAATTGTCTCATGGTCTATTAAACAGTAATTCCCCCCCCCCCAAAGCAGCAACCCCCCTAGAGATATGTGGTGCCATTAATCAGCAACTTATTTCTGATTTGGTTGCAAGAAAAGTGAGCATCTCTTGGAAGAGTAAGCAGTGCTATTAGTACATTTTCCTAGCGGGGACTTCTTGAGGATGCATTGCTAGCGTTGCTCTAGTTCAACAATCAGACCTTCTGCAGAGATGATCAGTATAACACGCATGCCTGGTCTTGGGCTAAGCTGAAATTGCTTTGAGAGGAAGACTCAGCAGCTCAATCCCCAGCCTATTTTGTTTGCAATAAAAGAGGGCTTTAGAGCAGCATGTCTGCCTGAGTCTGTCTGCACTGTGGAATGGAAACAGTTCCTTACAGCCTCTTCTGTGTGTTGTTCTGTTTGTGTCTGTGTGCTTGTTTACAGGTTGCACGGCCGCTACCACGAACTGGCACCAAACATGGTACCTATGGACTATACGAAGAATCCAGATGTTAAACTACCTATGCAGCTTATAGTGAACATGCCAGAGCTAAAGGTATTACTTTTCATGTCTCCATTCTGCCATTCTTCTGCAGCCCAACCCCACAAAATCTTTGACTGGGGGGACTGACTTTGGCTGTAAGGCTGCATACACACCATACATTTAAAGCAGATTTGAAACAGATTCTTTCTCTCAAAAAATTCCAGGCACTGCAGTTTTCACCTTCACAGAATTACAACCCCCAGCAAACCTTAACAAACTGGTGCCCAACTTTTTGAGGGGGGAAATGTGCTGTCCCATTCTTCCTGGGAGTTACCAATGGGGAGAGGGCTGTTGTCCTCAGGTCCTGTTTGTAGGCTTCTCAGGGCCACCTGGTTGACAACTGTGAAAACTGTATGAGGGACTAGACAGGCCTTTGACCTGACTCAAGAGCCAGGCACTTCTTGTGAGCTTTGTTTCTTTGCTTAGATCGGTTCCTCACTTCCATGTAAATTCAGCTTCTTTCTTTTTAAAAATGTTTTCATATTTGGCTATATGGGTATACCACCTCCCCCTGCCTCCCTTCTTCCATAGATTCCCAGGGCAATCCATGACTTCATCCAGAGTCTATTTTCGAGCCATTGCAGCTTGGTTGCTTTGACCTGCTCACAACCTTGAGGATTACTTTACATCATATCCATGGCCTTGTAACTTCATATATGCACAGGGTGATCGACCACTCAAGACATTATATACAGGAGTCTAAATTATTGGGTTGAGTCAACAGATGAGTTAATTTTAACGCTTCACATTTTGAAGGAAGCTTTGGGATGATCAGTTGCCATATGATATATTTGTATGCTCAGTATGGAACAAAGGAAGGTGGAGGGGAGAAAAAGGTACCAATTCATCAGATTGCAAAATGGGAGATCACTACATACAATATGGAGCCTAGACACTGAGGTCCACCTCCAAGGATCTTCTGGCGGTTCCCTCACTGCAAGTAGTGAGGTTGCAGGGAAGCAGGCAGAGGGCCTTCTTGGTAGTGGCGCCCACCCTGTGGAACAGCCTCCTGTGGAAGGGCAACCCAGTCAGATGGATGGGCTACAAATTATTATTATTATTATTATTATTATTATTATTATTATTATTATTAAGCAAGGTGGTGGTCACCTGCTTAAGCCAGCATGTCATGGAGGTGCTGCTTGTATGAACCTGTGCCTTCACATGGAAGGTGGACTCAGGGTTTCCATGATTTATTGCAGGCTGAAGAAGAGTGGCCTAACTCCTGGCATGATGAATGGCATGGTGCCTGCCACGTGTCCATCCCCATTTGGAAGACAGTGTTTACTTGCATTTCTCAGTATGTCTAGATGAGTCTTCCTGGCTCAGGAACTCAGCCAGTGGCCCACACACTGGTGGGTTCTAGGTGGAGGTGGCAGCCAGTTGAGGGTTTTCAGCAGGAGTTCAAGTTCAGGGTCGCACCTTGAAGTGGAGCTCAGGTTGGCAACTCACACAAGCAGACATGAGTGTTGCTTCCCCCATCCCACTCCATCAGCTCCTCAGAATCCATGGCATCACCCTCTGAAGGGGAGGAATTTGGCCCAGGAGAGCAGGATGCAGGTGTTCCTGACTGTATGATCCAGACCTCTTGAGTAGCCACTGCATGCATTGGAGCACCCCAATATTCTCCAACTCTTTCAACTTTTTTGGGGGGGGAATTCCCCCAAATGAATGAAATTGTGGGCATTTTTCCTCTGCACTTCAATTAAAATTAGGTAGGGTCACCTGAGGGCCAGATAACATTTGTTGGCAGACCGCATGGGGGGCCCTGGTATAAGAGTGCAGCCCTGCGGTATGATTTAGGTTCATTACCTGCTTCTGAGTGTCCTTAATTCATCACTTTGCTAACTGCCATCACCGTAACTGGATCCTGTGGCAATATACTCAGCTGTAAGAGAAACCAGTTGGTGGTAATGCAGGGGCGTGGAAAGGAGAGAGAGGCTGCTGAAGTCCAGGATGTTATGTCTGGGTGCAGATAATAACTCTTCAGACGGCTGCTGCTCACGTTCCAACCTGGGCATGGGGAGAGACGGCAAATGGCTCTGCTCTGCTTTTTGCAATGGAAAGGCATGTCTTACTTTTTCGTCCCAGCCTGGCCCATCCTCCCGGTGGACTGGCAGGGGACTTGTGTACAGGGACTGCAAGAAAAGAAATGTGCCTTGTGTGGCCACATTGGCATCACTTTAGAGGAAGCAGTATGGAACATTCTTGGCATGTGCAAGGCATCTCCAGGTAGGGGCCGGGAAATATCCTTCCTAAAACCCAAAAGAGCTGCTCCCGGTCAGTGTAAACAGTGTTGAAGGAGATGGACCAATGGCCTGACTTTGTATAAGGGAGCTTCCTGTGTTGCTGGAACTGGCGGACTGAGTAGATGAGACCAAGAGTGGGTCCAACGGTCAAGAAGGCAGTTTCTGTCCGTGCTGTGGAGGGAAGTGAGGGGCAGATGGGGCTCATCCACCTGGGAAGGGAGCCCATCTAGGAGAAGGAGAGAGAGAGCACAGACTTTGCAGGCCAAAGGTCTCCAGTTGAATTCCTAACTCCTCCAGGTAGGACTAGGAGATTTCTTCCTGAAACCTTGGAAAACTGTGGCCGTCAGTGCAGACGGGACTGAGAGTGATGTACAAACTATCTGAGTCAGCAGAAGGCAGCTTCCCATGATACACTGCTTTTCCAACTTGGGCTGGGATGTAAGCTTTGGCGAGACAGGCTTCACAAAATCCCGGCTCCCCGCTGCCCTCCCTGCCTGCTTTCTCTAGCCCTCTGAACAAACTCCTTCCCAGCCCCTCTACTGGCCAAAACACTGTTCCCCTTCCTGATGTCCTGGGTGGTAGTAAGAGTAGGGATGGGGTTGCCTGGGGAGAATGAAGTCAGTCCCTACCCTGTTGTGCTGAAAAGTACATCTCCCATGAACCACTGGGCTTTCACCCGGGGCACCTGTGCCATTAGCAGGCTGCTCCTGGTCCTACCACTTGGGAAGTCTTGAAGGGGAAGCCCTGGGACATGGGTAGGAACCTCAAGCCCCCAGCCTGGAAAAGCTTATCCATTCTTGCAGCTCTACTTTCACGCTTATTTCCCACCGGTTAACTTAGAGGCTCCAGCCATCTGACATTTGCAGCTTTACCTGTGCAACTAGTCAGTCAGTCAGTTCTTTTGCACATAGCCAAAGGATACTGCAATGTACACAGAATCATTCAACAGTTAAAAGGAAATATGCTGAATTAATACAAAAAGCTTAAAACATTTATATTATCAAAACATTACCTACTCTAAACAGAGCTATAGAAGTACCTTAATATACAGGTTAAGACTTTGAACAAATTTATAGGCTAAAATCACCACATGTCCACTAATATATTAAAAATAATGTTAATACAGTATGCAATTATATTCGGAGTTTGGTGATAAAGATAGAATATATCTTGATGTAAAGGGACCCCTGACCATTAGGTACAGTCGTGGCCGACTCTGGGGTTGCGGCGCTTATCTCGCTTTATTGGCCGAGGGAGCCAGCGTACAGCTTCCGGGTCATGTGGCCAGCATGACGAAGCCGCTTCTAGCGAACCAGAGCAGCGCACGGAAACGCTGTGTACCTTCCCGCCGGAGTTGTACCTATTTATCTACTTGCACTTTGACGTGCTTTTGAACTGCTAGGTTGGCAGGAGCTGGGACTGAGAAAACGGGAACTCACCCCATCGCGGGGATTCGAACCACTGACCTTCTGATCGGCAAGTCCTAGGCTCTGTGGTTTAACCCACAGCATGACCCGCGTCCCTTTAGCTTGTAGGGTCAAATTAATTGTAGGTAGGGTCAAATAAATTCATCTCCTTTACAGTTGGTGGCTATCTTGGCTATATAATTTGCTCTAATTTTCCTAGCGGCGATTGCAAAGAGTGCTACAGGCCAGGTCACATACTTATCTATGTCTGCGAGCAGATATAAAATCATGTCAGAGGGGTTCTGGCCAGGGGAGCTTGTCATTATAGTGCTAAAAATCATTCTCTTGCTTCATTATATAAGGGGCAGCGCAAGATATAATGCATAATGTCCTCTACTTCAGGACATCCCCTAATGCAAACACGTTTGTTTGTTGGTATGCCTCTGTGTCTCCCATCTCTATAAGCAGAGTTTATTGTATTTAATCGTAACTCTGTAAAAGCTTTCCGAAGTTGTACAAAAGTCAGTTCATTGAAATAAGGTGTTTGTTCATGGGCCTCTCTAAGTTTAAAATATAATGGGGTGCATGTGGATGTGTACATAGAGTTTAGGTTGTTTTTAATTGCCACTGCCCTTATGGGTCATTTAAAAATGTTTTTCTGGGAATATAAGGGAAGTTATTTGATCTCAGTCACTGAGAGGTCATATTTGCCCATCAGTTGGGCAGCGTGATGTACCCAGTTTTTAAGGGGTAATCCATTTGAGAGCTCAATCGGGCATTTTTTTGGTAGCCTAGTGTTGTCCATCTGTTGAATATTAAACCAGTAGCAGAGGATTCTTTTATTTATTTGGCTCTCTATGCTCAACATGCGAGTCTCCAACCTGACCATGGCAGATTGCATGTCTCTGGGTAAACCTAAAAGAACTCTTAAAAATAATTCTGTGGGGGTTCCAAACCAGAGACCTTTGAGGTACCCCAAACCTCTTCACCATATAAAATCTGGACCATTGATTTGGCTTTATACACAGATAGAGCTGGGTTAAGCAGATTTCCACCTTTACAAACAGCGAATTTCAAAATAGCTTTTGCTGATTTAAAGGCTTGCAAATTTAATATTGGAGAGCTGTATATTCCAAGATGCTGTTTCTGAATAAATCAATCCCGGATATTTAAACGTATTTACTTGGTTTATGATGTGTTCATCCAGGTACCAAACATGCTTTTTAGGGCGCTTCCCAAATACAATGACCTGTGTCTTATCGCATTTTATAGATAAAGCATTCCTTGTGCAATATGAACTTAATTTCGCAAGCAGCCGTCTCAGGCCTACCTGGGTTCTAGATACAAGTACTAGGTCATCAGCATACATTAAGACTGAGAATTTTTGGTCGAGAATTGTGACAGGGGCAAACTGTAGGCCCTCCAGTTCTTTAACCATGTCATTAATATAAAAATTAAACAAGAAAGGCACCAAAATGCATCCCTGTTTGACTCCAGTAATGGTCTTAATTCTAGTAGTAAGATGGCAGGCCAGATCCACCTTTACTTGTATTGATGTGTCAGTATATAATGTTTTGATGAGAAATAAATAGATGACGGTCTATATTTGTCTTTTCTAATTTCTGCCACAATGCATGTCTAGGAACCGTATCGAAAGCTGACTTTAGATCGATAAAAGCAACATATAGTTTTTGCTTCAAATTATGGATGTATTTACATAGCAGAAAGCACTGGTCCTATGTGGATTTCCCTCTTTGGAAACCTGTCTGGGCTTCAGATATCACCTTATTTGTATCTGCCCATTCTTCCAGTCTCCCAAGAAGGAGCCTGGCATATAGTTTAGAGGCTACATCTAACAAACTAATGGGTCTATAATTGGCAGGATTTTTCTTATCACCATCAGCCAGTGTGGTGTAGTGGTTAAGAGCAGTAGTCTCGTAATCTGGGGAACCGGGTTCACGTCTCCGCTCCTCCACCTGCAGCTGCTGGGTGACCTTGGGCTAGTCACACTTCTTTGAAGTCTCTCAGCCCCACTCACCTCACAGAGTGTTTGTTGTGGGGGAGGAAGGGAAAGGAGAATGTTAGCCGCTTTGAGACTCCTTAAAGGGAGTGAAAGGCGGGATATCAAATCCAAACTCTTCTTCTTCTCCTTATATATTGGGGCAATTATACTCAGCTTCCACCCTTCTGGTATGCGACCTGAGCTGTTAATGTATGAAAACAGTTTTGCAAAAATGGGTGACGAGAAATCCGGTCTTATCTTATAGATCTCCATTGGGACCATGTCTTCTCCTGGAGCTTTATTGGCTAGTTGGCTTACGATTAGCCTCTTAATCTGATTGGGTGTGACGTCTGGCCATTCTGGCAGTTCTAATAACTGAGTATAGTAAACTTGTGAGGATGAGTCAGAGCGGGGGCTGTATATTCCTGTAAAATATGTCACCCAATCCTTTCCTTGAACAGATACTTCTAACGAGTAGCCCAGCCCATTTGTACCTTGGGCAACGAGATGCCAAAATTTTTGTGAGTTCTTTTGAAGTGCTGCATCTCCCAATGCTTTCCACTGTTGCTCATAATATATTTGTTTCTTGTTTTTAAGTAATAATTTATAATTGTATCATAATTGGGCTACCTCAGCTTGTAGAGCAAGATTGTGCTTGTCATGTTTTAACTTCAATTTTCTAAGATAGGCATTTTTTGCTATTCTGACATTCCTTATCAAACCAAGTCTGTCTTTGAAACTTTTTATTTTTTACTCACTAGCTGTGGACATCAGTGGGCGCATTTGGTTGATTATGTTCTAATAAAGTCTGATTATGTTTCCTGTTTCTAACAACATTTTCCCCTTTAATAAAGCAAATTCATGAAATCCAGGATCTGAACCATTTTTTCTTGGACCTGTGCATTCCATTTTAACCTCCTCTTTCCAAGTATCAGATATTCTGTTTCATCCAATAATTTAGGAAAGGCAGGAGAAACGAATGATGTCAGAGATAACTCAAGTGGAAAGTGGTCACTTTCAGCTCTGGGAATTATCCTAAAGGTGTCTCAGTCAATTGGCACATTATTGGATGTTAGGATATAATCTATCCTAGTAGTGCTAGTAAAGCCTCTGGGGGAGATAAAAGTAAAATAACAGTCAAAGGGGGAGGCGAGCCACTGTTCTGTTATCATGTTTGGATTGTACGTCTGATTTGGCAAAAACTCCCCTGGAAAGGCTGATTTATGGAGCAACTGGTCTGGGAAAATTAATGAGCAGACGCTTAGACTTTATTTCATCGGAACTGTCAAAATGGCGCCTGCCGCTCAAATAGGACTTTTGGATCAGCGTGAAAGTCCACACAGAAACATAATAATGCTTGCTTCAACGCGCCTGTGGAAACAACTCAGAGGTTATTAAGAAGTAAAACGATAACAACAAGAAGATTGGAAGATGGGACTTGTGAACATTAAAGCAGCAGAAATATGAGATGATTGGATCCTTACTGAACTCGAAGCATGGGTACCCCCAACAAAAAATTTTAAAATTCGGCAAAATATTTGGATTTTATAATATGTATTGGTATAATTCGGATTAACTAATGTGATATGATTGGATTGTTAAATGGAAAACTTAATAAAAATTATTTTTTTAAAAAAAGTAAAATAACCCTCTTGATCCCTCTTGGGCAAAAAAAATGAGAGGCACAAATACAAGATGGGTGACACCTGGCTTGAGAGCAGTACATGTGAAAAGGATCTAGGAGTCTTGGTTGACCACAAACTTGACATGAGCCAACAGTGTGACGCGGCAGCTAAAAAAGCCAATGCAATTCTGGGCCTCATCAATAGGAGTATAGCATCTAGATCAAGGGAAGTAATAGTGCCACTGTATTCTGCTCTGGTCAGACCTCACCTGGAGTACTGTGTCCAGTTCTGGGCACCACAGTTCAAGAAGGACACTGACAAACTGGAACGTGTCCAGAGGAGGGCAACCAAAATGGTCAAAGGCCTGGAAATGATGCCTTATGAGGAACGGCTAAGGGAGCTGGGCATGTTTAGCCTGGAGAAGAGGAGGTTAAGGGGTGATATGATAGCCATGTTCAAATATATAAAAGGATGTCACATAGAGGAGGGAGAAAGGCTGTTTTCTGCTGCTACAGAGAAGCGGACACGGAGCAATGGATCCAAACTACAAGAAAGAAGATTCCACCTAAACATTAGGAAGAACTTCCTGACAGTAAGAGCTGTTCGACAGTGGAATTTGCTGCCAAGGAGTGTGGTGGAGTCTCCTTCTTTGGAGGTCTTTAAGCAGAGGCTTGACAACCATATGTCAGAAGTGCTCTGATGGTGTTTCCTGCTTGGCAGGGGGTTGGACTCGATGGCCCTTGTGGTCTCTTCCAACTCTATGATTCTATGATTCTATGATTCTATGATTCTATGATCCCCTTGACCATGCCCATTGCATAACAAAAGGTTATGCTTAATTATAAGTTCACAAAGATATTTCCCAGTGTGGTTAGAGGTGGTGTCCATTGCTGCCCTCTGACAGATTTCGGGTTTGTCCTCCAAGTTTAGTCCAGATAATGTATTTTGTGGGAAAACAAGGCCAATCTGGGCACTGAAGTCACAAGCCGAGGGTTGGGAGACAGAGAGTCTATACTTTCGAGTAGTTGGGAGCAACTAGTCATTCCTCAGGAGTTGAAAAGCACCAGTGATTTGCAGGAGCTTGAGAAAAACTCAGCGTTGAAATGGACTTTTCACCAGATCTCTTGTGTACTTATAATTGGGATTTTGTATTAGGTTGTACACAGTGTTTTTTCCCCTAGAAAAATAGGTCCCGGTACTCAGCATGAAGTTGTAACCGTAAGTGCTGCACTTTTTTAACAACAAAAAGAGGTGCTGGTACTGCGTACCCTTGAGTGCCCCCTGGGAAAAAAGCCCTGGTTGTACACTTGTTTTGGGTGATACAGAGAGACTTTTAAAGGAGTGTTTCAGCTAAAGTGCTGCCTTTTGGGGTTTCTTTTTAAAAGAGAAGCAAATCTGCAAGTTGCTCATGCATTCTGTCTGTCTGCAGGAGAACCCCTTCCGGGAGAGGATTGTCCACTCCTTTTCTGACGATGACGAGGGGAGCCTCAGCTTCAATGACTTTGTTGACATGTTCTCTGTACTCAGCGAAACGGCCCCTCGAGAGCTCAAAGCAATCTACGCCTTCAAGGTCTATGGTAAGGAGAGGAATTGGCATTGTGTTAGAACATCGACCAGAAGGGAATGGAATTTTGTTTTGGTCCATTTCAGATTTATATTTAATAAAATTTATACATTGCTTAATTGTAAATAAAAATGTAATAAATAAATAAGTAATAAATTAGAAACAGATTAAAGCACACAACAAAGTTCTACATATCAGCGTAGGCTTGTCTACACAAAAAGATTTTAGCAGGCGCAGAAAGAGTTCAGTGAAGGCTGAGGTCAATAGACAGGGAGTTCCAAAGTATAGGTTCTGCCACACTAAGATACAGATTTTTTTACAATGCGGAATGAATATTATGCGACACCTCTGGCAGTTCTACAGATTGAAGCAGCTGAAGGGGCATATGTGAAGTAAGGCGATCTCATGGGTAAACTGCATGGCAGGGGTTGGACTAGATGACCCTCAAGGGTCCCTTCCAACTCTATGATTCCCTCAGCTTCCTGGGGGTGCTGTGTAGTTGGAAATGGTGCATTCACTCTTGCCTTATGGAACAACTGCATTTTTTTTAAAAAAACAAAACTTTGAAATATAATTGATTTAGTATAACAGCTGCTTTTAAATTTCACCAAAGTGTTTTTTGGGTGAGGTGGGGGCCCGATATTTTTTAAAAAACGCTTTCTGATTTATTTTCTTTATTTCAGAATGACCTACCAGATGCCAGAGCTTTTGCAAATAAATCCATGCCGACTGTTTTACTGACAATTACCCAACATGCTAAATGTCATTCTGCAGCTCTATAATTAAATAGGGCTGATGCTAATCTTGGGCCAAAGACAATAAAACAAATAAATGCAATGGCCTTTTAATTGCCATTCTCTTATGCATTTGCAAGATTAATCGGCAAGCACCTGGTGTAGAGCAGCCAACACCTGCCGAATTCGCCCCCTTGGCCTGCTGTTTTGTAAAGTGGAACTGGGGAGGACTGTATTGGTCACTTAATGGTTACTTGGAAAAGTTGCCCCTGTAGCTCTAAACTCTGTGGAACCCCCCCCCCCCCCCCCGTGCTGTGAAGCCTTCTGGTCCACAGACCTGAGCCTTCCCCTGGCCGTGAAGCAGATGAGGAGCCGTGAACAGGGGCAGGAAGCAGGTGAAGTCATGGTCTCTCCTCAGCTCTGAACTGTAGCCACAGCCACAACACACATGGCTTCCTCCAGGCATCCTGGGAATGCACATGGCTTCCTCCAGGCATCCTGGGAACTGTAGCTGTGAGGGGGCAAACTATGGTTCCCAAGCCCATGTGCTTTAAATTTGATTTGAATTATGATCTGGATGTGACCCATGAATCGTGATGGCTAAAAGTGGGACCTTCATGCCACTTCTCAATTCCAGTTGCTGGGGGACAAACAGTCCCCATTGGTGGGAGGTATCTTGTTGGCAGGATTCTGGATGAATGGTTCAGTCCAGCAGAGCTCTTCTGATATTCCTGACTGAGATAACGTTCACACATCCTTTAGTCACCTGCCATCCAGGGGTTGTGGTTTGAGGACCCGTACCCCGAGCAGTGGAATGAAACACAAGGACACGTGATATAAGGTTAATGGGCAAGAAAAGGCCACAACTTTATTGATTACAGCAAGTGAAAAGGTATTGGCTTAGGCATTGGATTACATCATCTGACTCCACCCACTCAGAGAGGGGTGAGTCTAAAAAACAAGGGGGGTTTATTCACCAGTAGGTGGAGCCTGTTGATGCTAATCCAACTATAAGCTCTCCCCTGATGTCACCGAGGGTCGTGCCATGGCCTCCCACCACGCAGGCATCAGACAGAATACACGACCACCGGATTCCTTTAACGGAATACCCAAAAATTGAAGGCGCAGGCGATGGCCACACCTAGCCCTTCGACACCACAACACATTATTCCAATGCCTAACCGCCACCCGAGCCCAAAACAGGGGTTCCCTTTGGGCTTATGGTGTCCTTGGAGAAGAGGCATATCGACCACCTGTTTTCTCCCATCTTTGCTTGCCCAGATTTTAACACAGACAACTTCATTTGTAAATCTGATCTGGAAAAAACCCTCAACAATTTGACAAAAGAAGAGCTGACAGAGGAAGAGGTGAGCCTGGTCTGCGAAAAAGTGATCGACGAAGCGGATATGGACGGTGATGGCAAGCTTGGATTTTCTGATTTTGAAAACATGATTTCCAAAGCACCTGATTTCCTCAGGTACATGTATAAGCATTTGCAATGCTCCCAGAATTGATTGACTTCCCCTCACCCACCAGTTTCCATTTTCCCCTTTATTCTCTTTGCATATAACTATTTTTCTTCACTTAATTTCAAATTCATTTTCACATCCTAATTTTACCTTTAGTTCATAAATGCTACAACCACCCTGCTAATGTTTCAACATTTTTACAGTGTTCTTTAAAATACTCTGTAGTTTCCCCCCATTCTTGGTGCCTGATCTTCACGGTTAATTTTGCCATTTCGGTATAGTCTATCATCTTAGTCTTCCATTCTTCTTTCATTGGGACATCCTCTTCTTTCCACTTCTGGGCAAGTAGCATTCTGGCAGCTGTGGTTGCCTACATAAATAGTCTCTTTTGCTTCTTTGGCACTTCATCTCCTAATATTTTTAAACATTTTTTTCATTTCATTGTATATCATTTCCCAGAAGCCTTTTACCTTTTTGCATGTCCACCACATATGAAAAAACGTACCTTCTTTTTCTTTACATTTCCAACATAAGTTAGATGAGTTTTTATACATCTTAGCAAGTTTTACAGGTGTTAAATACCATCTATACATCATTTTCATATAGTTTTCTTTTAGCAAACTACATGCCGTGAATTTTAAATTTTCTTTCCACAGCTTTCCCCATGATTCAAATGGGAGCAGGCTTTCCTTTCAGGATGGGATGAGGGCATTGCTTGTTTGCAGATGTGTGGAGAGGAGGAGCAGAGCATAAAGGAAGGTGCAGTCAGGATCCTGAAGATACTGGGTTGTAGCCAATGTAGCGGTAGCGCCAAGTTAAAATCACTTAGCAGTTGTACTTACTGTGTCGGTGAAATGCTTTGCACCAGTGGAATGTAGCTGAGCAAGAGAACACCTACCATAAGCAAGTTGCTGGCAATTTTGTGGTGCCATAGATCATGAAAAGGGTTGTTCAATGGGTTTAACCTAATGCAATGGCTGTACTGAATTCCTCTTTGCACAACATTAACACTCACCCATCTGCTAGTGTTCTTGCACGAGTGGACACAGAATGGTGGCTACAGACCATTGGCTGCATTCTGCCCCACAACACTCTAGAGACAGGAAAAGGATAAAGCCACCGCTCAGATATCTCCAGATGGAACTTGCAAGTTCCTTTTGAAGATAGGGTTTTACTCCTGCGAGGTGAAGGTAAGAAATCCAGGAATTTAGCATCACTGCAATGGGGCAGCAGCACATGCACATGCCTGCGCACACCCACACCCACCCACTAGAAAGGACTGCTCAAGAGGTAGCAGCAAAAGACCGGAGTTTGGGTTCTTTCTTATTTGGGATTTGCTTAATGGGGAAATTCAATTACAGGTATAACAAGATTCAGAGTTTCAGCACAGCCTTTTCCCAAACAGTTCCTACTGCTTAAGTGGTGTATTGGGTTGAAAAAAATTAATTAAATTAGGATTGATGAATCAAATGCTGTGGTTCAAATACCACCTTCTCTCCCTTTTTGGAACTGAAATAGTCAGCATTACCGGAACAGATACTTATTTTAGGAGTTACGTAACATACATTGAATATACACTAAAAACAGAAAGATATTCATATAAAATAAAAGTTAAATATTCTAACTGTATGATTAAACAGAATCACCAATCGGATTATGATACTTTTTTTTTAAAGAAGAAAGCTCCCTTGTATATTTGATTTGACTTGCTTTTAAGTGGTAACGACTAGGCTCATTACTAAACAAGAAAGTTGTAGCACATCTACGTTGATAAATTTTAACTTAATTCACCCAAAGAACCACAAATTTTATTTATTTTTTTATTTGTTGGGGGGCTGCAAGGCTTCTTTCTGGAATTCACTCAACTTTCCACTGAACTACAGTTCCAGGGGGCTTTGGGATTGAAATACAGGCCTACCAATCATAGGAAGGCACCTTATGTTGAATCAAACTATTGGTTGATCAGCCTTAGGATTATTGACTCTAATTTGAGCCTGTGAGGATTCCTCCACCCATCTAGCTGGGACTAATTGCCCTTTTCCAGAACTGTCTCATGCAGTGACCCTGATCACCAAACTTGCTCATTTGATTCTTCCCCTTTCGCTTGCTTTGCATCATTCATGTTTATTAAATTAAATTAAATGGCTGGACCTTCTTTAAAACAATGAACTTCCTCGATGCAATGCCCAGAAGGCACTATGTAAATTAAACAAATAGTCATGGAAGGAGATGGGATGAGGATTGGGGTGGAGGAGAAAGCACTCTAACTTCATTGTGTTAAATTCATTGTTGCCTTCTCTCTGTCTTCCTGTCATTATCTATCTAGAGGTCCTAGGATGGGTTACAATAGTATAATGTACAATTATAAAAAGATGAAACCATTGCATTACATGCAAGAATGTTGGTTTGACGACATAAGGATCCACACTCACCATTGAACTTTGGAAACAGCAGATAATTCCTGTAAATGGCAGGGTGAAGAGTTCTAGATTGGCCGCCTCTGTGTGCAGAGACATTTGGGGTACATGGATTCAATCCTGCGAGCCTCCTGCCAACCCCCTTCTGCACTTTAAAGGGGCGCTGTCCAAACACCTGCTGCCCCCCCCCAGCTGCTTGTGAAATGTAGGCCTTCTGGCACAGGGGCTCTGGGTCGCAATCTGGACAGATAGCTTGACTAGGCAGAGTTGATCAAATCATTCTAAACACACTTTTAAAGCACATGCTGTCTCCCAAAGAATCCTGGGAACTGTAGCTTGCTAAGGATGCTGGGAATTGTAACCCAGTGAGGGGTAAACTACACTTCCCAAGAATCTTTCTCTGTGGTGGGGGAGCCGTGTTAAATGTGCTTTAAATGTGGATATGTTGGTCTTTTGCATCCAAAATATTGGACTGGCCTTTATAATCCCTCCCCCCTAAGTGCACGCTATCCCTGAGAATGACAGCAATCCCAGAGGGTTTTAAATTACTCCATAAAAGAGGAAGAGTTGGCGCCAGAGGAACCCAGTATCTTTGAGTTACTGTCCTGCTGCTTCTGTATATTGTTACTTTCATTACTCCTTGTAATATTAGTCAGCTTCATCTCACTACATCTGGGCTGCCTTTGTTTATACTGCACAGGGAACTTACCAGATCATGATTGCCTCTCTGTTTCAAGTTCTTACGTGCATATTTTCAAAAGGATTTCACTCTTTGAAATCTTTTTTGTTTTTCTTTTGTTTTGCAAAAGCAGATATGCATAGAAGTGCTGGAGGGATCTGGTAAGTCATCTAGTTCACCCCCAACCCAGCTCAATGCAGGAAATCCAGATTTTGGCCATATCCACAGTGGACAACAGGCCACAGGAACTATAAAACAACAATGAAATAATTGGTCCGTCTAGCTCCGTATGACCTCCCCAGACTGGCAGCAGTTCTCCAAGATTTCAGATGGGAGACGTTTAAAGTCCAGGGATTGAACCCAAGACCTTCTGCATGCAAAGCAGATGCTGCACCCCTGGAGCTGCAGCCCTTCCCTATAAGCGCGGAAGAGGAAAACTTAAAAAAAACTCCAGCGACAACCCACCCCTCTGCTCTAATAGCTGGCCAGGACAGAGGAAATTGTCTGTGCTGGACAGAGTCCAGAAGTAGGAATAAGTTGTAAATGGCTGAGGCAGTGACTGGTTCAGAAAATTTGATCCCTGTAGGTTTATTTCACTTTAAAAAATGTTATCATTTTGAGGCTGCTTGTATTTTAATGGACCCATTAGCACTCAGAGCTGGCCATGGCTTAAGTGTTCTGTTCTACAAGACTGGTTACATTTCCCACAGGAAATTGTTTTATAAATCATTGTGGAAGCTAAAACTCTTTTTTATTTTTTAAAAAACAGATCTGTATGGATTGGTACAGGTGGTGCAGCAATAGCTTCAACAGAGACCGACAGTGCCTTGCCCAGGGTTATCTGAGCCCCTGATAGCAACCTGGCTTGATTACTGCATTGCATGGCTATGTGGTTGCCCTTGGAAGCTATTTTAGCCAGTGCAGAAAGTGGCACAGCCAAGTTACTGACTGACACCAGCGCCTCTGATAACGCCAAGGTTGCAGGTTCAATTCCCACCTGGTACAGCTGGGGTCATAGAATCATAGAATCATAGAATCATAGAGTTGGAAGAGACCACAAGGGCCATCGAGTCCAACCCCCTGCCAAGCAGGAAACACCATCAGAGCACTCCTGACATATGGTTGTCAAGCCTCTGCTTAAAGACCTCCAAAGAAGGAGACTCCACCACACTCCTTGGCAGCAAAGTCCACTGTCGAACAGCTCTTACTGTCAGGAAGTTCTTCCTAATGTTTAGGTGGAATCTTCTTTCTTGTAGTTTGGATCCATTGCTCCGTGTACGCTTGTCTGGAGCAGCAGAAAACAACCTTTCTCCCTCCTCTATGTGACATCCTTTTATATATTTGAACATGGCTATCATATCACCCCTTAACCTCCTCTTCTCCAGGCTAAACATGCCCAGCTCCCTTAGCCGTTCCTCATAAGACATCGTTTCCAGGCCTTTGACCATTTTGGTTGCCCTCCTCTGGACACGTTCCAGTTTGTCAGTGTCCTTCTTGAATTGTGGTGCCCAGAACTGGACACAGTACTCCAGGTGAGGTCTGACATGAGCAGAATACAGTGGCACTATTACTTCCCTTGATCTAGATGCTATGCTCCTATTGATGCAGCCCAGAATTGCATTGGCTTTTTTAGCTGCCGCATCACACTGTTGGCTCATGTCAAGTTTGTGGTCAACCAAGACTCCTAGATCCTTTTCACATGTACTGCTCTCAAGCCAGGTGTCACCCATCTTGTATTTGTGCCTCTCATTTTTTTTGCCCAAGTGCAATACTTTACATTTCTCCCTGTTAAAATTCATCTTGTTTGTTTTGGCCCAGTTCTCTAATCTGTCAAGGTCGTTTTGAAGTGTGATCCTGTCCTCTGGGGTGTTAGCCACCCCTCCCAGTTTGGTGTCATCTGCAAATTTGATCAGGATGCCCTTGAGTCCATCATCCAAGTCATTGATGAAGATGTTGAATAAGACCGGGCCCAAGACAGAACCCTGTGGCACCCCACTAGTCACTCTTCTCCAGGATGAAGAGGAACCATTGATGAGCACCCTTTGGGTTCGGTCAGTCAGCCAGTTACAAATCCACTGGGTCGGGCTAGATGATCCTCGGGGTCCCTTCCAACTCTAGAATTCTAGAATTCTGTGAACCACCCTCAGACCTCCAGGTATAGGGTGGTATATAAATTCAAACAACAACAGAATTCTATGGTTCTATGATCTTTACCAGTCTCCGGTTTGCTTTCATGTACAGCGGTACCTCAGGTTACATACGCTTCAGGCTACATACACTTCAGGTTACAGACTCCGCTAACCCAGAAATAGTGCTTCAGGTTAAGAACTTTGCTTCAGGATGAGAACAGAAAAGTATGCTCTGGTGGCGCGGCGGCAGCAGGAGGTGCTTCAGTTACAGACCTCCGGAACGAATTAAGAACAGTTACAGACCTCCGGAACAAATTAAGTACTTAACCCAAGGTACCACTGTACAATTCAAGGCGCTGTTTGCCCAGGGGTGTTGCGAGTATTTGAAGGGGGGGCTCCAAGATGTGAGCCCACTGTTCAGATATATGTGACAAAATATTTAATCCACTACACACACACCTGAGTTTTGTCTGTACTTCATTTATTTACTGCATTTATATCTCACCTTTGTCAGCTCTTCCAAAGCGATGCTTCTGCTCTGCTGTTACCTTGAATCTTGTTTATGTCTCTGCAGCACCTTCCATATACGAATCTGAAAATGTTGGGCTGAGCTGCTGGGAATAATTTGACGCCTGTCCTGCCTCCCTGAATCTCAAGCACTGCATGTGTTTGCAGGGGGAGGGGGCCTACATGTCAGCCTCCTCCTCTGAATTCTGTAACAGACGAGTGAACAAATCTCAGAGTTTCACAGTAATGAAGAGAAGAAGCTGTTTCTCTGGAATGAACCTGTGGAGACATTTGGCTCCCCCCACCTTCACCGTTGGCCAGTGATGTGGCAGGCAGATGAAAAGTTGTGGGGTGGCCACATTGTTTTAACCAGACCAGATGCTGCTCTGTGTGTCTCCCTGCAATTTTTATATTTGTAAAGATTTGATATTGTTGTCCCTCCAAGCAAAAAGGAAAGAGCGATCTAGCAGAGACTCCCAGAAGGTAATGGATAAACATAAAAACCGGCCTTACAGGAGATGTCTCCACTGTTGCGTAGCACCGTCTGTCTGGAGCTGTCAGCTGACACAGATGGATGTGGCTGCATCTGTGATCATGGAAGATGGGTGTCCGTGCCCAGGGAGCCGCTGGGCTGGCTTTAGGTGCTTAAGCAACCAGTATTGTATGGATGCTCACATCCTGAAGAAACTTGAAACATTTTTTTTTAAAAAAGTGTCATATATTAGCAAACAATTCTTCTTCAAATGGACTCTTTTTGAATCATGTTGCTGGCATCCAATGAGAGTCTCATTTAGTTTCATATTAAATTCAATATTTCTGACATATTGCAAAACAACAACAACCACACACACAAGATCAAGCCAAGAATATACTCATGAAAAAGTAAAGAGGAAGTACATCACCAAGAATAAGGACATCTCCTGCTTTTTAAAGAAAGCCAGCTATGCAATCTTCCTCCTCAAATGCATGACAGCAACCCCTGACTCTTGGCTCTCATACCCTCTCTACAAAACCAGCTTCCTTCCTTTTCTTTTCATGCCCAGTCTTGGCTGAAAACTGGGGCAGGATGACAATCACACATGTACAATAACTGTTCTCTAACAGTCTTATAGAAGGGCTCTGATACATATTTGTGGCTTCTGTATCCAAGTTGTCCATGATTAAACTACTCCTGATTTTATTCTTCTTGGTGGTTTTTTGGCCTGGTATAAGGAGAAAGATTTCTGAAATTAGTTCTGGAATAGGAGCTTTAATATTCATTCATTGAATTTATATCCCACATTTTTTATTCAAGGAGCTCAAGGTAGGGTAGATGGTTCTTTCCCTCCTCATTTATTCCCCACAACACCCCTGTATGGTGCCAGTGTGGTGTAGTGGTTAAGAGCGGTAGTCTCGTAATCTGGGGAACCGGGTTCACTTCCCCGCTCCTCCACCTGCAGCTGCTGGGTGACCTTGGGCCAGTCACACTTCTCTGAAGTCTCTCAGCCCCACTCACCTCACAGAGTGTTTGTTGTGGGGGAGGAAGGGAAAGGAGAATGTGAGCCGCTTTGAGACTCCTTAAAGGGAGTGAAAGGCGGGATATCAAATCCAAACTCCTCCTCTTCTTCTTCTTATTCTGTGAGGCAGGTTAGGCAGAGAGGTAGTGACTGGCCCAAGGTTGCCCAATGAGTTTTGTGGCTGAGTGGAGATTTGAACCCTGGTCTCTCCCTGGTCTTGGTCCAACACTTTAACCACTGCACCACACTGCCATGTGTGTTAAGCAGCATTTTATTAGGTTCCTTTGCATTGTTCCCCCCCTTTGTTACACTGATGTCTTGCTAAAACACTGCACAAAAAAAGCACTCCGCAATGGCTCTGCTCTGCCTCTACCGTCAAAGGCATATGCATCTGAATACCAGCTGCTGTGGATTATACAAATCATCACACCAAAACAGGTGTACAAATCACACTACAATTGCTTGTAGATATGCTTCTGTGGGTTTTAAAAAAATCATTGTCTGCATGTGCATTGGTGATGTGGACGGGGTAGGATTTTAAAAAGGACTGAATTCACTCTGAATTCTGAAGAGAAACTTGTCCAAAAGGGATGGAGGAGGATCAATGCATCCATTCTGCTTTGGAAAGAAGACCAGGTAATTCAGAACTCCCAAACCAGGGGAGAAATAAAGACAATTCTGGAGGCCTCTCTGGACAGAGGGCCAGGGCACCTGTTACCATTTCACATGTGACCAGCAAGTTCTCTCTTGCTATCATGACACCGTCCCATTGCATTGTGAATTTTCATGCTTTCTCCTAATGGCTGCTAGAGAGAGGGGGCAAAGAAACTTTCCACAGCATGTGGGAATTAACCAGGACCAGCCCAAGGCCTTCAGACAGGCAGGCAGAAGGTCCCAGATTCAATCCTTGGCATCTTTTCCGATGATCTTCCTGAGGGGAGAAGTGACGGCTGCCCACAAGAAAACAGTTCATCCAACGTAGAAAGTTGCCTTATATGGAGTCACACCATCGTCCCAGGATTCCAGACATGGCTGCCTCCCAGCAGAGGCAGTTTTAGGATAGTGCGACTGCTTCTGCCACACTGGGCACACTGCCATGGGGGGAGGGGGGCACAACAATGATGTCACACTGAGCATGAGAGGCGGGGGAGGGGACCAAATATTAGCATTGCAGAGGGCACTGCTGAAACTTGCGAGGCCAAAGTCTCCACAGCTCCCAGCCCTTCCTGGAGGCGCCAGGGGTGGAACCTGGGGCCATCTGCATGTAAAGCAGATGTTCTGTCATTGAGCTGCAGATGGAGCCCCAAGATGGGGAAGGGAAGACTTCAGAAACAGAGCAAGGAGGACTGAGTGCACTCAGGGACCATGAAATATTGATTGAAAATATTACAGAGGGACAGGATGAGAAACTGGGGAGGAGGGCCGGGGGAAGGTGGAATTGGGTGAGTGGAGCACTGAACAGAAGCACCCAAAAGGAAATGTTTTGTTTAGGTATCCAGGATTTTAATATAGATGCAGTTTGAGGATAGTGTGTCAACCCCGAAACAAAAAGTAGCAGCAAAGTAATTTTGAGTATTGGACCCTCCCCCCCCCATTATCGTGGGTGCTTAGGGTGATTCCAGATGCTGTTGGGCTCCAAATCCCATCACCCCCGTTGCATCCCAGTGATGACAGTGGCTAGAGAGATTTCACTCTGTCTGTCTGTCTGTCTGATAGTGCTACTACAGCAGCCATTCCCAGCAGGGTGCCCTGCTTGACTTCAGTCCTACCAGCCCCAGCCAGCATGGCCAAGAGGAAGGGATGATGGGAGTTGTGGTCCAATTGCAAAGGGAGAAACACAGATTCCCCATTCCTAGGGGGGAGAGTTATATGGACCAAAAGGAGTACTGAAAATCCCCATAAAAAGGTAAAGGACCCCTAACAGTTGAGGCCAGTCGCGGACGACTCTGGGGTTGCGGTGCTCATCTTGCTATACTGGCTGAAGGAGCCGGCGTTTGTCCGCAGACAGTTTTTCTGGGTCATGTGGCCAGCATGACTAAGCCGCTTCTGGCGAAACCAGAGCAGCGCATGGAAACGCCGTTTACCTTCCCGCCTGAGCGGTACCTATTTACCTACTTGCACTTTGACGTGCTTTTGAACTGCTAGGTTGGCAGGAGCAGGGACCGAGCAACGGGAGCTCACCCCATCGTGGGGATTCGAACTGCCGACCTTCTGATCGGGAAGTCCTAGGCTCTATGGTTTAGACCACAGCGCCACCTGCGCAGCTCCTAAAATCCCCATAGTCCTGTGATATCCCCGGTCTGTGAATTTGGGGTCTCCTGCTCAAAGCGGGGCAGTTGAGTGCTGTGTCACAGTGCTGGCTGCGGCTGATGGGAGTTGTAGCCCAAAAGCATTCCCTGGGCACCAGCTTGACAAAAGTCATTATAGGAGTTGTCTCCTGGTGAGACTCTTCCTGTTACTTTTCTATATACATGTTCTTTCATAAGCAAAATACACCACCCAAAACAGAACTTTGTTAAATGACCCCCAACTGTTTTTCTTTAGTTTTAGAATTTATGCTTTTATTCATTTAGGATGTCCATGTGGCCCCTGGAAGGTTGTGCACGAGGGAACTTGGCTCTTGGCATAAAAACCATTGTCCCTCAGACCTTGTGGGGGGCCAGACTGTATGTTGCCATGATTATGACCCACATTTTTGGCAAAACACCTTATTGGGACCAGGCCCAACGTTGCCCAAATGTGACTTTTTTTGGGGGGGGGTGTTCCCTCATACACCCACGCTGCTTCCTTTGCATTTTATACATTGACAGTTCTTATTTCTCTCGTAAGGTGGGGTGGGTGTGGGTGGGGGGCTGAGGTAAGCGTGCCATTCCTGTCAGCCCTGGAGAGCGTGTGCGCATGCGTGGGTGAAGGGAAAAGCCGTTGGCCACGCCAAGTCAGGCTGGCGCCGCTCAAGCAAAAACGTTCTTTTCCCCACGTGAGGGAAGATGAGGCGGCGGTGGTGGCGATTTACCTTTCCTTGGCTCACACCGTGTAGCTCATGAGCGGCCTCCCCAGCAGAGCGCAGAGCTGCATTGGAGTGCAGCTGCCCAGGCGCTCCCCGCTTCCTCCACCGCTGCCACAGACTCCGGCGGGCGTCGCTCCCGAGGCGCCTCTGAGCCCCTGCCGCCGCAACTGCCCTTCCTGAAATCCAAACTGAGGCTCCTTTTCCCTCTCCCCCACCCCGGAAGAAAAGATTGCTGCACGTGCGACGGGCGGAGAAGGGGCTTGTCTTCAGCAGCCGCCTGCCTCACTTTTGACCCCCAAACCTGGCTGAGTCACAAAAACCATTGTGCATGCGCACGCTATGCCGGCTGCCTGGATCCCACACCGTCCGCGGGCCGGATCTAGAAAGCACATATGCGGGCCGGATCTAGAAAGCAATTGGGCCTGATCCGACCCGCGGGCCATAGTTTGCCAACCCACGGCCAAGGCGAAGAGCCACTTCAAATAAATAGGTAAATATGGTTTTTGCTGCTAAGGTTATCTCTAAACATCAGACCTGATACTTATATGTCAGCAGAACCGTCTGACGGAGCAGATAGGACGTTCTAGAAAAGCATGCATGCCTTGTGATGGGAAAAGGGACTTCTGAAAAATGCAACCATCGCAGCCCAGAGTAGGAAACAATGAGGTTTCGTAACACAGCGGAAGAAGACTGTTAGGAAGCCAAGCTGCTGCTGGTTCTCATTTAGTGATCTTTAGTACAGGTTGAGGCTCAGAGCGACAGTTCAAGCACAGTGCTCAGAATTTAGTCTTCTTTTCTGCAAACAGGAATCTTCTGGGCTTATCACTCTGGTAGGGAAATGAATTACATGAAGGTTTATTTCAAAAGGAAGGCAGAGAGAGATTTTTAGGTAGTCTAGCGAGCAGTTATGCACGAGGGTAATTGAAAAGGCAAGCTTTGCACCCTGGAAAGTTCATCTTCAGCTTGGATTTTAATCTGAGCTGGGGAAGAAATCAGGGCTCTTTCCCCACTTCCCACCTGCCACACCTCCTTCAAAACACCCCCTCCTCTTCACTGCTGTTCCATCAGGGGCATCATGGGAGGGACGGAATCATAGAATCATGGAATTGTGGAGTTGGAAGGGACCCCAAGGATCATGTAGTCGAAGTCCCTGCATTGCAAAAATATGCAGCTGACTCAAAAGGAGATCAAACCAGCAATTTTGGTGTTATCAGCACCACAAACTATCCAATTGAGCTAATGCAAAACTCTTTCCCCGCTCCCTTTTGCCTTGCATGCTGCTATGCTGTGACCCAGACACCAGGAGCACTGGGAAGTATGAATTTCTCAGTGTTTCTGACCTTGCTAACTGCATTTCCCAGCCAGGTGCCTAATTTGCAGCCGAAGCAGTGTGCTGGGCACCAGAAAGGCATGGGGCGGGAATGGAGAGCAGGAAAAACTTCTATTCCAACACTCTGCTGCCACCACTGGAGCAGCAAAAACAGATAAGGGAAGTGGGCACATGTTGGGATCTGGGGGAAGGATTGGGCCCTGTTCCATCCCGGGTGACACCAAAGGGGTGCAAGTGCAACAGGACCTGATTTGGATTGGTGCTGGGTTTGGATGAGCGGAGCTATTTTATGCAAGCTGAGTAGAGTTTACCTTTTGGCTTGCCTTGCATTCTGCTTCTTTTCCAGGACTGAAGTGAATTTGTTCATAGGTGTTCTCTGCAGTGAAGACATTCCTTTTTGAGGAAAAGGCTTTGGAGAACGGATCAGGGCTCTTTTTGCATGGATTCACAGTATAGACCTGTGCCTTAGAGGATCTCCCAGTCTTCACAGAGATTTGATCATAAGTCTCTTTGGGCTGTATTAGTGAAGACTGGAGAAGCTTTTCTGAATTGGGGTCATGGGTGATGCCCTTTGACCAAGTAAAAGGAATCTGTTCATAAGTATTGCTTGCCTCATCAAGATCATCACCATGGAGGGGTGCTGTGGATTTAGGGTGTTTCATCTTAATAATCTGCCCATGCATGTTTCCCCTTGGCAAATCTGGCAAACTCTGGGGGTGGTTTGGTTCCTGAGGCTCTTTCTCAAACACAAGAGAGCTGGCATAGGCTGCAAATGGAGACTGCGACCCCCAGAGTTCTGAGGAGGTCACAGGCTTATTAGGTAACTTAGGAGACAGCTTGGGAGGAGCTGAAGCAGGAGGGTTTAGCATTGCTTTCTTGGGTGTAGCAACAGAGGATGGACCACTGGTGGGGGCAGGGAATGCCAAACAGCTCTTGTCTTGGTCTCGGCTAATTATGGAGTAAGTAGTTTCTGGATGGGAGTTTTCTGTGACTTTTTTGCCATATAGACTATCAGATTGCTTAGTCAATGCAAACACGGTACTTGTTTTTTTCTTGTAGGGAGAGGCACTAACTTGGCCGGGTTCTTCAGGCTTTGGCAAACTGTCCACCAACACTTTGCACATGTATTTTGGCACCTCCAGGCTCCTGTTGTCTAACGGGTGTTTCTTCACTGCTGAATAAGCAATGCTTCCTTCGGTTCCAAAGTCTTCCTCAAAGGTTTCTGCTATTAGCAAGCAGCTCTTGTCTGGCACCAGTGGGGCTGCTTCGGGGTCCTGCTGAGATAGAAAGGGGCAGGAAAGCAAGAAGAAATGGCTGAGATTAATTTCCAGTTCTTAAACAAGGATTTTAAGATGAGAGAGGACAGTGATCTTTTCAAAGAACATCAAAAAGAGCTCTAGTGAGTCAGGCCATTGGCTTATCCATTCCAGCATCCTGTTCCCACAGTGGCCAACTGGATGCCTATGGGAAGCCCTGAGGCAGGACCTGAGCACAGCTCTCCACTTCTGATTTCCAGCAACCAGCATATGGAGGCATATCACGCCCCCCCCCAGTAGAGGTAGAACACAGCCATCCTGCCTCGTAGTCAGTAGGGGTGAAGAAAGAAGTTTGATTCAGTTCACATTTCAAGGAACCTACATAAAGAATTTCACTGGCTACTGGCTATGTTCCTGGTTTTGGTGTGTGAAGCCCTATAGAGCTTGGGATCAGGATACCTGAAAGATGGTCTCATCCCTTCTATACCTAGTTGATCACTAGGCTCTTCAGGTGAGGGTGACCAGCAGATGCCATCTTACCAGAAGGTCCATTCTGCGCAACATAGGAACCAGGCCTTTTGTGTGGTCGCACCTCCTCTTTGGAATTTCCTCCCCTTGAATATTAGGCACTGTCTCTCTTACCTTTTCGGCACCTACTGAAGACCTTCCTCTTCCAACTTTTAAGTAGAGCGAGGGTTTGCCTCTTTTAGTAATTGGTCTGTTTAAAGCCATTTAAACTACTGAAAACCACTGCCAGCATCTTTCTAACAGTAGCCACTCAGAGCTTTTTCCTCAAGAAAAATCTACCTCTGGGCTCAGCTTCCGGTTCTCCCTTGACAAAGACTCCTGCTGCTCCTGAAGCTTTTTCCTGGGTGTCACTGGCTGGGGGCTGCTGTCTTCTTTTGCTGGCCTGGAGGCTGGTGAGCTGCCAGACACTTCTCTGGTCAGCTCCGAAGTGGTGCTTGCAGAGCTTTGCTGGAAAGCTCTTGGCTGATGCACAGAGATTTCATCATAGATGCTTCTTTCCTCTTGCTATCAGGGTATGGAAAAGAAATAGAAAGGGGGATAACAGTAGTTAGATTTGCAAGAGGATTTGGAGGAAAAATGGAATGCTGAATTAGATGGACCTTTGCTCCAAGGAATATGTCACTTTCAGTTTTTCTCAACTTTTCATTTTTCCAGCCTTAAATGTTAACACATAGAGTTTTCAGGCAGCTGTAGAAGTTAAATGAATCCTTTCCTGGAGCATCCCTGCAGTTGAAAGAATACAAAGCCCAGTGTCCCTTGACCCCCATAACCTCCTTGTCCACCCCACACCCCTCAAACTACAGCCCCCCCGGCCTGCCTGCACCCTGCCAGCTACAGCCTTCCCAACCACCCCAAACCCCCAGGGCCTGCTCCTTCTCAGGGTCTCAGCATGGCAGCTGGATGGGTGGCTGCCAGGCCGGAGAGTCAAAGCTTCCCACGGTGGCACTGGCAGTGTCAGCAGTGGTGCCCCCCTTGTGCCACTCCCCCTTTCTCCTCCCCGGGGCCTGGTGCAAGACTTTCCCCCTCTTTCCCTCCACCCACCTTCTCCAACTTGGGCAGAGGAGGTGGCGGCGGAGGAGGAGAAGGCCTCACTTGGCAACTCTCTCTACCTCTGCTTCCCCCAACACCAAGCCATTTGCGGTTAGCGTATCTCTATGAAGATGGGAATTTGGGACTCTGTATGAGAAAGTGAGAAGCCGTGATGGTTTAAGGGTTTTTGTGACGGTCCCAGCATTTTGGGGGCAGTTGGAGACTATGCCCTAGACTTGTGTTTTCTAGTCCAACCTTCAGGATCAAACTCCAATAACAAAGTTATAAAAAGGTAAAGGTACCCCTGCCCGTACGGGCCAGTCGTGACCGACTCTAGGGTTGCGCGCTCATCTCGCTCAAGAGGCCGGGAGCCGGTGCTGTCCGAAGACACTTCCGGGTCATGTGGCCAGCGTGACTAAGCTGCATCTGGCGAGCCAGCACCAGCGCCGCACACAGAAACACCGTTTACCTTCCCGCTAGAAAGCGGTCCCTATTTATCTACTTGCACTTAGGGGTGCTTTCGAACTGCTAGGTAGGCAGGAGCTGGGACCGAACGACGGGAGCTCACCCCACCGCGGGGATTCGAACCACCAACCTTTCGATCGGCAGGTCCTAGGCTCTGTGGTTTAACCCACAGCGCCACCCGTGTCCCCAACAAAGTTATAATAAAACATAAAAACAACACAGAACATCAAGCATGAAAATGCACCCCCAACCCCCCAATAAAACCCAACAAAATCCTGCAAATTATGTCAGAAAGTTAAAATAGGCTATAAAACGTGTTGAAACATCTGGGCACATAAAGAGGTGCTTATCCAATTTTAGGGTACCATCATGTCCAGATGAACTGGATTGCTGATCACATTGCTGTACTTGACTAAAAGCAACAGGATGACTCTATCTGTGGTTGCTTTTGGCAAAATGTAATGCTCAGATCAGCAATTCAGTTCACATGATGACTATAGGAAGGATTATATTTTTGAAACAAAGTCTCTAATGCTTGACTCACATTTGGACAGGCCATAGTCAGATTTTCTCCAAAAGGCTCTATCTTGGAAGTCTGGTAGTAGCTTATGAGCTCCGCAAGGCTTGGATGGGTCTGGGTGTCCCCTGATATGACATAACATCCATTCCGTTGACAACTGATGACAAAATGGCGGCATCGATCTTTTCCCCTGCAGTCAAAAGAAGTGCCCCTTTTAGGACTAGGCAGAGAGGAATTTCCACTGGTCTAGGAGTGTGGGCAAAGGGAGCAGAAGATCTGGGCGCATTGTTAGTGACAGGTCCTGTACCCTCAGGCAGCTACTAAGTCTGCTTCAGAGAACATGATTCATGTCCTTGACTGTGACGGGGGCAACTCAGCTCCATGCACAGCCTGAAAACAGGGCTTGACCAGGGATGCTTCCAATGTCCTCCTCATTTAAATTTCAACCTGAATTAGCAAAGCACTCAGCCCATACAATCACTCAACACATTAAAAAATATATATTTTATTTTAATAATAATAATTTTATTTATATCCTGCGCATCTGACTGGGTTGCCCCAATACAATAGAAATGTTTGAGAGATTCAGAAATGAACAATGGCTTTCCTGTTTGACATCGTATGGTCCACAACTCAATACAGCATACATGTAAAGCATTATTATACTACTTTTAACAGCCACGGAGAAGCTTGGGAACTGTAGTTTATAGTTTATCAAGGGTGCTGATCTCACAGAGCTGCAGTTTCCAGCACCCATAACAAACTACAGTTCCCAGGATGCTCCATGCCTGTAAAAGTTCTTTAAGCGTATGATTTGGAGGTAACCCCAGTTGATCCTTCGTTGTTCTGGGTTTCCTAACTTTGTCTGGATTACTGTGCACCCAGGTTGGCATCTATCACCATGTCTTGTGGCAGTGAGTTCTAGAGTTTAACTATTTTCTCTGTTCAGAAGTGCTTATTTCCGTCTGTCACAAATCTCTCACCATTTAGCTTTGGTGGACAATCCCTGGTTCTAGTATTAATGAGAAAGAGTGAAAAACATCTCTCCTGTCAGTTTCTCCACAACAGACATGCTTTTATAAACTACTATCGTGCCCCCAACCTGCTTCACCTTTTCTTCCTAAACTAAAAAGCCACAAATGATTGTGACCTTTCCTCATACAGGAGTTGCTCTAGACCCCCATCATATTGGTTGCTCTGCTTTGCATTGCCCACTTCTCTCCAATAGCCTTTTTTAGTAACTGCCACCAGAACTGTTGGCATTTGCGGGTAAAGCCCAACCACACTAGCAGCAACCAAGAGACCTCTCCAGGATACAAACCTGGGCAGTGTGCAGGGGTGTCCTGGGCTTCCCAGAGAACAAGACCTCTCTTGGCCTCACTGATGTGGTCCAAAGGAAAGCAGAGCAAGACGTTGGGCACCAGCTTGGCTGCAGGAGTTGCTGGAAGGAGGCAGACAAGGCGCCATCCAACCGTCTTAGGGACTCCACTCCGAATTTGTGTAGGGTTTACTCCTTAGCCTTTTCTTCTTCTGAAGATATTCCACAAGGCAACAGAGCTTTAGGATCAGAGTTTTCCTTCTCCTAGATGGGCTCCCTAGGTGGACAAGCCCCATCTGCCCCTCACATCCCTTTATAGCACGGGCAGAAACTGCCTTCTTAACCGTTGGGCACACCCTTGGACTCATCCACTCCATCTGCCAAAGCCTGTCTTCGCATGCAGGGGAAGACACAACTCTCTGAGGGTTTGAGTCCCATTAGCTACCCACACCTGGTTGAACTGGCCAGTCAAAGCCATTCCTGGGATTGTGGCCACTGTTGCATGCTGACAGCTTCTAGGAGCCACAGGTGAGAGCTGAGTGCAGGGTGAGGACCAAAGGTGGACAAAGTACCTCAGAAGGAAGGAGCAGGACATGTTCCCAACCAAAGGTACTGTCCCTCCGCTAACACATGACACACCCACCAGAACTGTACACATTTACAAATCAGGCCAGTTGCTGCTTCTGAACAATTGTCAAGGCAGCTCCATATGTGCAGCACTGCAGTAGTCCAGAAGTCCTGCCTGGAAGTCAGTGGGGCGCAAAAAACAGAAAGGTACAGAATAGGGACCTCCATGATCATAGGCTCCATTTGGCCTGTTAAAAACTTCAAAGCACCCTAGAAAATGTTCCTAAGAGCCACTAGCTCCCATAAGATAAATTTCATTCTTTCGTTTCTCTTATTTGTTTACAATATAGCAAGTATAATAACAGATGCCAAATGATATCTAGCGGTAAACAAATTTCCATACCAAAATCAAACATAATAAATTAACATCACAAAGGTTCTGCTTAGCACATGAGGGTTTACCTTATTATACATTAGTACATTAGAAAAAGACTGCATTTTTCGTGGGAGAAGTTATCTTGTTGGCTGTGCTCTGCTTCTCATCATATATTTAATTCTTTTAAGCAGAGCAGTACCAGAAGCCTGAATACTGACCTTCTGTATAAGAAGGAGTACCTCTTCATGGAAAGTCACCACAGAAGGATTGAATTCAGACATAGCATTTGAGAGAAGAGATGGACAGAGCCCGTCATAAGGCTTTGGGTGTGCAATAAATGCTTTTCATTTGACAACAAATGAGCCACAGTGACAGAAGCCACCATGCAGAGACTCATCAAGGGCCTTCGACACATTAACACGTCTGAATTTGCATGACTACTTCTTTCACCATTTGTGGTATGACTAGCAAACTATCTGAATGGTCTCGATCAGGAGTCAGTTTTCTCTGAACAATCAGCTGCCTAAGGACTGGAGTTGCTCTTATGTCACAGAAAGTGATGCTTTGAAGAGGAGCCAGGCTCCACCATAGGACTGGGGAATCCTCCCGTGGTCGCTGGGCTGCAACTCCTAGTATTCTTGGCCATTGGTCCCGCTGGCTAAGGCTGTGGGGAGCTGGAGTCCAACATCCCTGCTTTGTAACAAAATGGACAGCATCAAAGCTTCAAGGGTCTCACAGTTGTGGGGCAGAGGTGTCCATGCCATGTCCTGGCCATGCTGAGGACATCACAAATGGCACCCTGAGAGGAGAAGGCACTTTCCCACAAATCAACTCAGAAGCCTGTAAAAATCCATGGAGAATAAGGCTATTAAGGGCTGCTAGCCACACCAGTCACTATACAGTTTTTCAGAAGGTGGCTGAAAGAAGGCAGAAATAGTTCCTGCTGAAACTCTACTGGCATGGAGTTCCACAGGGCAAGTTGCCAGAGGGAAGCTGCCATATCCCATATACTTACCAAACAATCGCTTAAGGATGGTAGACCAGGATCCATCCCCACCCCACTTATAAACCTTGGGCCAAAATAATCATTTCAGTGTCAACAGAGCGAAACAATATCACCAATGGATCTCACCACCTGTAGATGAAACCTGCAGAATTTGATCCAAAATCAACTCACAGTAAATCCACTGAAGTTAATGGACATGCCTAACTTAGCTACCCTCATTTCAGCAGGTCTATTCTGAGTAGAACTTGATTCAATTCAGTCTTAGGAGGGACAACTGAGAGTATTGCATCACAGTATTGCATTTCCTCCTGATTGCAGTCAGTGGCCTCAAATAACATGCATCTCTGGAATTTGTTCCCGGTTGCCCCATCATTCCTTCTCTTTCCAGTGCTCGGGTGACACGCTGCTCCCTAAGTAGTCTACCTAAGACCATCTACACACAAGAGAGAACGCTTTCAGGAGGCTTGAAGGGGCCCAGGGCTTTCAGAAGAACACCAAATTTATATAGAGGCAGCAATCCTTGGGTTGGCCATCCACCCAAACCACCCCATGGGGACTGAGTGGCCACAGAAAACGGGCTGCCTATTGGAGGAGAATGGCAGAGAGCGAGAGCAGTGATTCTACGTGACATTCTGCTGGAAGTCCAAAACAAACAAACAAACAAAAACCCAGTATAAGACAATTTGAAAATGGTGACATTTTCCAGCCCAAAGAGACAATCTAAACTCAAAAGCTTACCTGTAGGAGAGGATGTATCCAAACGATCTCTCATTTAATCGGATGAGAAAACTGCCAAAGCTTTTTTCTTTCAGCTGCTCTTCAGTTTGCCTGTACAAAGAGACAGCTTCTTTTATAATGTCACAGCCTGATTTGGTACAGAAGTAGAGGTTAGACATAAAAGATTCTGTCAGTTTTTGTTTTTTCTCCATTTCTCATTTTTCCAATTGTAAATTCAGTTCTTAACATTTCCACATCAGTTTGCATTTTTTAAAAGTCCTCAAGAAAAGTGGATCTAATAAATCCTATCCCGACGATCTATTCACTAACCCACAGCAACCCTAGCATGGACTCTCCTGTTAAGCACATTTTCTTTTCTTAATAAAAAGAGAAAGGTACAAAACCAGCAGCCTCCCATCAATCCCAAATCATCTAGTTCAAAAGACAGTGGCAATTAACTAAAACATTCATTTCAGTGCTTTTCTCCTTACTTCCTTGTAATGAATCCATGGAACCATTCTGGCAAGCTGCCGTCCTGTAACATCAGAGGAACTTGCGTCTGCAGAAACCACCTCAGCACCAGGTCCCTGAGCATTTCGGAGGGCTGGTTCTCAATTTCCAGGCTGGCTTCCATCCCTCAAGCAAATTGCTGGTGCCTACTATTTATCCCGAGATGGAAACAGCTGAAAGGGGAGGGGAGGAAAGGAAGAGTTGCATGGTGTGCATTATAGCCTCCTAGATATCTCATTTGCTTACAGCTTTCTCTTCCTAAGAGTAAAAATATAAACAGAGGATCATGTTTCCTCAATAGCAGGGATAGCATGCAATTTTACTTTGGGGCAACTCATGTGACTTTCAAGTTGTCTGACAGAGCCTGAACCTCTAGCTATTGTATTTTGTTGCATTTTTATCCTACCCTTTTCTCCAAGGAGCTCTAGGTGACAAATACAGCTCCCCTACTCCTTATTTAATTTCCACAACAACCCTGTGAGGTAGGCCTGAGGTCACCCAGTGAGTTTCACCGCTGAGTGGGGAAGCAAACTCTGGTCTCCCAGGTCACAGTCCAACACTCTAACCATTGCACTTCACTGTTAGCAGAGGTCCAGCAGCTCTTCTTGTTAACCTGGTGATCCAATCAATGTCAATGCACCCCATGCCAAATCCTGGCCAATGCACTAACAAGGCCCACATGTGACCCCTAGCAGCTGTTATTCAGAAGCATATCAGTTGCAACAGGGGAGGCAGAACCCAGCCATCATGGCTGTAGCCATTAGGAATGCGGGGAGAAATTGGATTCCGTCCTTAGTTAAAGGTGGACCTACATAAAGAATGGAAAGAACCGTACCGGCTGCCGAGCTAAGGTCAGGGTACTGGCTTTGGTGTGTATCACTTGGAACTGGAAGCAGCGTCTCATCCCATATATCAATTGATATCCTATTGATCAATGAGCATTGCAAGGGAGCATCTCCTGCAAATGCCGTCTGCTCAGGAGGCCCATCTATGCAATGTTGGAATTGGGCCTTTTGTGTGGTGGCTCCTCCCCCTGGGAATCCCCTCCCTGTGAATATTAGGCAGGTGCCATCTCTGTTGCCTTTAAGCATCCACTGAAGATCTTCCTCTTCCAGCAAGCCTTTTAAGTTGGGATCTTTCCTAGTCCAGATCCATACTGGAATTGTTTATAAGATGTTACTCATCATTGCCAGCCCAGGGTTCCATTGGGCAGAAGGCTGGGATGTAAATTTAATAAGCAATCAAAGAACAAACAAGCACTATTAGGGTGGATAACATTTTTCAGGCTAAGGGCCACATTGTGCCATGGTCAACCCTCCAGGGGCCACATGCCAACATTCTGTTTTTTAAAAAGTACACTAGATGGGGTTCTGCAGGGTTGTCACAAAAACCTTTTGACATCATAGAGTCAAAGCAGGAAGAACCAAAATTTTGTTTTTTAAAATATAATTTTGAGGGTTTCTGAAATATACTCAGAGTCGCAAAGTGATTTCATGCTCTTTATTCAGCTCATAGTGGTGAGGAGGAATGAATGAAAGTCCCCTCAAAGTATCTGCTTTATATACATTATTTACACAATGGGCTGCACATGATTGGCTAATTCCGGAATTCTACTGTAAGCCAATCAGGTTGTGGATTCACTTCTATCTGGAGAATGATTGGGTGGTTCCTGCCAACCAATCATACTGCTGCATTGTTCTAGGACCAATCAGACTGCTGCATTCTGAATCCTATTGTTCTAGGACCAATCAGACTGCTGCATTTTGGATCCTATTGTTCTAGGACCAATCAGACTGCTGCAGTTTGGATCCTATTCAACTCAGTACATAACACCCCTCCCCTCTAAGTTCCAGTCCTGCCTGGGAGGTTGCATTCATTTGTAGTCCTCAAGGTACGCTGGCGCCTACATATGCGTTGCGGCCTGGGGTGTTCCTTGGTCAGGGGTTCTGGTTCTGGCTCATACTGCTGCATTGTTCTAGGACCAATCAGACTGCTGCATTTTGGATCCTATTGTTCTAGGACCAATCAGACTGCTGCAGTTTGGATCCTATTCAACTCAGTACATAACACCTTCTCTGGTGAACTACAAAAACATTGTGTGTGTGTGTGTGTATGAGCAGTGACGGAGCTTCATGCTCTGGCACCGGGGGGGGGCGTGGGGTGGCAGATAGCAGGCAGGGGCAGGGCTGGCACACGTCTTGAGGGCATGGTGTGCCGCCTGCAGGGGCATGATGCGCATCCTGGGTGCGTGACGCGCCGCCTGTGGGGGCATGGCGCCCAGCGCGGGAGGGGGGCAGCTGTGATGGCACCCCATAGGATCGTGCTGCCGGGGGTGGTGCGCTCCCCCTGCAATCCTCTTCCTCTGCCAGTGTGCCTGAGTGCACATGCGTGGCTCAGAGCCTGTTGTTTTGCCAGCCCTGATATAGTAACACTTGGAGAGGTGTTCAGACAGTGCCAACTAGTGGCCACTAAGAGGAACACCATACTTCCAGGGGCCATTTTTTTGTACCCCACCCCAGAAATGCACCTCCTGGGTCTAGAAAACTGGCAAAACATGCCTGTGTGAGAAAGCATTTCAACTCATTTTCAGCAGACACAGGAGGAAAAAACTTAGTTTGCTCACTTCCCCTCGTTCTGCACAGCTGTTAAAAGTGTGCATGATTAAATAATAATAAATAATCATAAATTTTATTTATATCCCGCCCTCCCCAGCCGAAGCTGGGCTCAGGGCGGCTAACAACAATCGCATGCCTCCTTCTGTGTTCTCCAGAACTCTTCTCAGGCTGGATGGCAAAGACGGGGGTTTTTCCGCGGGGTGTGGGGAATTGGCAGGACGCTAAGCAGAGTGTTCGTATTTGGCCAGGCTCCAGATGGGAATGTTGGAGGCTGCAGCAGATGCTCCAACGAGGCTCCGTTTGGTTACCCCAAGGGCTGCTGGGGTGATGGGGCAGACAGTGGTTGATTTTCCCACCTCTGGGAATATAAAGCCCAACCACTGCTCAGTTCTGTCTCCATTGGAGCCAAAACACCCAGATAGTTTGAAAAGGTATATTAGCTTTTCTGTTCTCCTGATCATCTCACCCCCTTCAAAATGGAAGCAGGCAATGTATCTGTATTTGAATAAAGTCCGTTACACTTTTGCATGGTGTTCCTTCATTTGCAAATCTGCTAAAAATAGGGAAAACATGAACTCTTTCCTTATTGGCTCCTTTTCTTATTAGATGAGGCAGTGTGGGCCCAGCACTGCAGACTGACCCTGTCTTTGCACAGCACCCCAGAGGCAAGGGCCCCAAACTGCTTCAGTGGGAGAGATGGGAAGCAGGGCTCATGCCATCAACTCTGCTGAAGGCCAGCTCCGACAGGCAGCTTCTACCTCCGAACGGTTTCCATTTCAGCCAGTTCTTATAAGAACTACTACCGGCTCCTTTTTCCTTTTGTGTTGTGCCTTCAAGATTGTAAGCCTGTTGGCTGGGACTGCCTTATTTTAACTGATTGCTTGTAACATCCTCTGGAAGCTTAGTTGGGTGAAGAGAGTGATAGAAATAATCTAAATAAGCAAATAAATACCACAGTGCCATGAAGCCTCTTTCAAGTGAAAGGTGTACTGGGTCAAAAGGAGACCATGATAGGGATCACCTGCAACTTTTCTTTCCTTCTCCTTGAAACATGGGGCTACTAATCTGATTAGGTGAGCGATGATGAGGAAATGGGGGCTTTGACCTTCAGCACATTTCCCTTCAATCTACTTCCCCTCCCTTCCCCCATTAGCTATAATTTCTGCAAAGGGCCAAAGCAGGTGCAACATCTGGATTGAGACTGCCTCATCCCCTGCATACCCAACCGATCTCTGCACTCTGCTGGAGAAGGCATCTTGCAGATCCCGTAGCAGGGGTAGGCAAGCTAAGGCCCATGGGCCACAAGCGGCCCGCAGGGGTCGTTTAACCGGCCCATGAGCCGCCCCCGAACCGAGCTGCCCGCTTGGCGAGTCCCCGCGTGCTGTGCTAAACTGGCACAGCGTGGTGCGGGGACTCAGTTCCGCGGTGCTGGAAATCGCATCTGCACATGCGCAGACACTGGAAATCGTGGGCACGTATGCTCACACACGCATGCAATTGGTGTTTGCATCCCTCCAGCAGAGGGATCTCCACTGGAATGAACCGGCCCAGGTGAGGTAAACCTTGCCAACCCCTGTCCTACAGTATCAGGAAGTCTGCTCTACACGATGCTGCAACTGAATGTGGTGGCCCCCACCCTTTGCAGTTCCCTCCCACCACATGCCGGACAGACACCTTCTCTATTGTCCTCCTAGAGTGTGCCAAAAACCTTCCTCTTTTAGTGAGGGTTTTATCTCAGTTGCTACCTGTACAGGATTGGAATTGATCTTATACATAGGTGCTGTTGTAACACACCCACACACATCTGTTTTATACAGTGCTTTTTTCTTTAAAAATGTTTAGGGGTAATATCATTTTCCTACTCATATTGAAATACTGCCCCTCCATGAGGTCAAAATTAGATTCACAAAATGTTTAGGGGTATGTGTACCCCCAGAAAAAAGCACTGGTTTTATATATGCAAATTTTTCAACTGTTTTTATATATGCCATCGTTCTATATATGTTTTAGTGTTTTGCAAATTGCTTTGGGATGCCTCATGGGAAGTGATTCATTAATGGGATAAATAAATAGTGATCAGGGCCATAACAAATTGTCACATTCAACTTGCTTTTGACAGCCTTTTCCTTCTGCAACTGAACCTCCAGGAAAGGCACAGACAGGTGCAGCTACTTTCTTGACTGCTTCCTGAAATGCACAAGATTTAGAAAGAAGTTAAGTAGTCGAACCTAATATTTCAGAAAAAGGTACATGCAGATGGCTAAAAAAAAACCTGAATGGATGCGGATTTTGTCATTTTAACGAATGTGTAATGCTCATTAAAATATTGTGAAACCCAGCTTTTGGTTGTCATGTGGTTTTAAAAGAAGAAGAAGCACCTGTCCCTCATGAATTCAGAGCTATGCTTGGAAACAGGATGTAGAAGCAAACAAGCATGAAGATTGGCAGCCAGGAAGCCAATCACAAGTCCAGATCTTCTGTGCTGCCAGCTCTGCATTTTGATATATTT